TCATGCCATTTCTGTTGTTGTTGAAACATTTCATTCTGTTGGTCAAGAAATGCTTGATAACAAGCATCTTGTTCTTTTGTTTCTTGAGCAATATGATAGGAATGCATGCCAGATTGGAAGCCCAAATGCTCGTATTGATCTTCGTACCATTTTTGATGTTGTTCAAATATTTGTCTCTGGTTTTGAAGAGTTTTTGCTTCCTGTCTTCTTGATTCATCAACTATGTCTGTCTTCAGATTATGACACAAGCCAGACATATCTGACACTATATGCTGCCTATACATACTGAACATTTCTTCTATTTCTTCTCTTCTTACATAGTTGAAATCAAGAGAAGAACAACCAGACTCCTAAAGTCCAATTGAAATTTGTGCTGTTGAACTACCAGCAACACCTATTTGTTGCTCATCCATACGATGTGGAATTTGTTGCTCGTCCATATGTTGTGGAATTTGTTGATGTGCATTCTAGACATATCTGACACTATATGCTGCCTATACATACTGAACATTTCTTCTATTTCTTCTCTTCTTACATAGTTGAAATCAAGAGAAGAACAACCAGACTCCTAAAGTCCAATTGAAATTTGTGCTGTTGAACTACCAGCAACACCTATTTGTTGCTCATCCATACGATGTGGAATTTGTTGCTCGTCCATATGTTATGGAATTTGTTGATGTGCATTCTCAAATTCTCTACCAACGATGCCATCTAAAATAGTATGTTGGTTATCAGTTAGTAATGATAAAGTCATACACCAAACTTTGTCCAATTCTTCTTCAGTGGGTGCTAACACTGCAAGTACTTCAATCTACAAATATAATAAAAAATTATAATACTTTCCTCTCCCACTATTAAATAATTAGATAATTGATAGTTAAATGTATATCTAAAATTATCATGCCTCTTGGGTAGTGAAAAATTGCTTTACTCTTCTCTCACTCAATATTTTTTTGGCTTCCATTTATGCATTCTTGGAGCCTGTAATGTCTTATACATACGTCGTCCAAATTTGAGGAAATGCTCTATATATCCGAAACTACAACAGAGAATTCAAAATCAATATTAAATACGTATAAAATCAAAATATAGAGTAAATAAATTAAAAAAAATTACCTGAAAGGTAAGGGGATATCCAGTATATATTTACATTCATTTTGGCCAGACTGTTGCATTCTTTGTATTCTTTCAATATGTGATTGTTGCAACGATTTCAACAAAACAAAGTATGTCTTACGGCCCCAAGGATACAGCAAAAAATCATTCAACTGCTTAACCATGCCTAAAGTTCTGTAATCAATATATCTTTTCGTTGGTGTCAAAACACATTCTACCAACATCACCAATCCCAATTTTAATTTATCCTCTGGATCTTCACATAATTGGAATGCATCGTAAAGCATTATCATGTTAATTCTTTTTTTGCTTTCAAAATATTGATCTCTAAGTCGAGAATTGTTGGGATCAAGATTAACAGATTCTTCATGACAAGGTAATCCTGTGATTAGACAAAATTATTGCAAGCCAAAACAAGCAAAATGATTGTCCAACTTCACCCACGTCTCATTTGTTTTACCACAGTCAACAAACATCATTATAAATTCATGTATTAGTTTACTGGTGAATTGTTGCTCTTCATCTCTATACATAAATCCATGAAAAAATCCATGAAAACTGCTATCACTAGAGAGTAAAAGTGATTGCTCATTTGCTTGAAACAATTCTATACAATCTTTTACATATTGGTAATTGGGGTATTGAGAATTGAGTGATAGTACCAGAAAACCATTGGTTTGGTGACAGTATATAATATAAAGACATTTGCACAAATAATAGAAATGAAAAATGACATAACATATACCAACATATCTTCGTGATTTCATATAAGTATATATCATATATATCATGTAAGCTGGAAAAAAAATTACTGTCAATGTATATCAATCATTAGATTTAATATATATTTCTAATTCCGAGATTTTGTCTCCAATTTATATAAAAAATATTATAATTTAACTTTAAAAAAATAAACAAAAAAAGTAAGTTTCGAGTGCGGGGAGTCCAAATTGGTGCAGGGAATCCCCTCACAGTCGTGCGGGCCCCCGCAAGTGATGCTGGGACTCCCTACACCACCGCGTGCGGGCACTTCGCACATTTTTGTGCGTAGTCCTGCACTCCCCACTTACTTCCCATACCACCAACTTCATTTTCGACACAAATTTCACATTTCTTCCACAAATATCAACGATTAAAAATAGTAAGTTATTCATATAAATAACATTATTCATAAAAATCAACTTACCTTAAAATTTGTTGCTTAATCCCAGACTGTAATTAGTTTGAGATTTGAGATGAATGAATTGAAAATGCAGATGAAAAATGAGTTATGAATTTGAGGTGAAGAAATGAAGTATGTTGGTGAAATAGTTACTAACATTAATTACATTTGGCATTTTGCAAGATTCTTTCATTTTTTGGCATTTATCTTTTGCCTGCAAGAAAGATATATGTTTGTTTTCATTATCTATCACAAATGCAATGTATCACACTGAAATTTCACTATCTCAACCACAAGAATCCACATTCCCACTTACTTTCAAACCAAACCCATTTCTAATATTCAGATTTATTTAAATGAAATATCTGTAGGAAATTCTTTAAACATGAGATAGTCTCTATAATAAAGAGTCAATCTTTAAAATTATCCTCCAAAACACTCTTTCAATTAACATTTTTAGAAAATTGGAGCCAAACTCACTCTCTTTGTAATTAAATGCATTTAAAATGTTCAATGTAAAAAAATAATAAAATAATCTAAAGAAAAATTGGTTAAAACAAAAGATAAAGAAAATTAAATTATTCTTTACTATAGCAAAATTATAAATTATCTTTTACTTATATTCCCACAATTTTAAATCTAATTTTTACTAACTACCGGAGACGATTCATGCCAAAAAATTTAATTCAAACTTCAAAAGCATAATCAACCAAGAAAACTAAAATCTCTATATCACGCTAATAAAGACACATTAAATACAATAATTGTGCTACGCACGTGACATTGACTAGTGTGTATATATATATATTTCAACCACATCAGTGAAATTCTAGCACTTTTGCTTCTGTACAAGCAAAGAAATTGTAACTTTATTTATTGTTATCAATTACTTAGTGTTGTCATATATATATTCAACCACATCAGCATCTGGTGAAATTCTAGCACTTTTGCTTCTGTAAGAGCAGAAAAATTGTAACTTTATTTATTTTTATCAAATACTCAGCATTGTCCTACTGCATTCCTATCATTCCTGTTTACTTCCAAAAGGCTTCACAGAACAAACTCATCATCATGGACCATAAAGAACAAACTCGCATCATCTCTGCCATTCATCAACTCGTCTTAGTATTTAGACAAGTCAGATAGCAGCCAAATCCAACTCATGAAAACATGCAAATGTAAAACATTCCTGGAATATACGGTTTATGGAATTTAAGTATTAAAAAACCCATGATAGTAAACACGACTTAGAAAGGCATCAACAAGTTTGGCACGTCAAGAATCTCGTTCATGAAAATACATGGGCATTATAAAATCACACCCTATTACACAAATGCGTCCTTTTCAAGCCATCTTCCAATTTACAGAAATGCATCCTTTTCAAGCAGTTTTAGTACTTCCCGATGATTGTTTAGTTTAGCAACATCAATGGGTGTCTTGCCGTCCAAATTCTGAAGAGTGCTACAGAAAGATAACAAAACATAGGACGAAACAGTTAATCATTAATGAACCTACAAATGGCAGTAAAATTTTGCACATAGGAAACTTACACAGAAGCGGCATTCTTCAAAAGTAGCTCAACACAGTCTTTCTTGCCGTATCCAGCAGCATAATGGAGAGGAGTGTTTTTATTCTTATCCAAAGCATCCACCTTAGCACCGGCCTCCAGAAGAACTTGAGCACAATTGAACTGAAATTGAACAAGTGCGCTAAAAAGAATAAGGGTACATCATCTAAGAAAAATGAGAAACTAAGTTTACTCAAAACTTCAACCCCCTCCCACCTGAATGGATGAAATTAATAAGAAACATAAAGAAGAAGAAAACAGAAGAGTAGGGACGTAAGAAGAAAGTAAAAGATTTAATGATGAAACAAAAGGGATAGCTAATGCAACAAAAACTGAAAGAGAAGATTGATACAAAAGATTGAAAAAGTACCCTAAGGGACAATGAAACTATAAGTAGAAGAAACTCCTGGCTGGAAAACAAACCAGAAAAGTTCACCGGGATGAACCAATCTTCTCTTACATTGTAGGAAACATATTTACAATATACAAAAATATTGATGCACCGAACTGTCTTCCTAAGAAAAGTGAAAAGGAAAGGCCAAAAACGCAACTTGAGGTGTATGATCACATATACCTCACCATATCCACATGCAAAATGTAATGCTGTCCTTCCCTCAGAATCTTCTTCGTCTTTATCAGCACCATCTGCTAGCGCTTCCTTCAAGCCCTATTTATTCCATGAAAAGCAAGTGGCTTATATTTGAAAGAAATTTTATCACATTCACAGCAAAATTACCTAAACTAGGAGACTAGAAGGAAATATACAAGTAAACTTTAAAATTTTAAATTAAATTCTGTTGTTAAAATTGTTTTCCAGCATCCAATGCTTTATTTTTTAATTTCATTACTAAGCACCAATTAGCTTTAAAATGTACCTTCTCATCACCAATGCTAGCAGTTTGATGAACAATGGATTCATCTTCATTTACTTCCTCTGTTACATCTTCTCCAGCAGCTTCTTCAGCAGAAGTGCCAGTTTTCCAGTCCCTGATAGAAAAAAAGGCCTTTTATGTACAGTGAAATTGAGAAGTAAATCGAAAATCCTAAACCTAATAACAAGAGAACTCGGAATGGTCCTAGCAATTAGGTCATAAATTCATATTGATCTAAGGACGTACTAATCAATAATCAAGAAACATGATCCACATGTAGAAAAAGAACTGATGTTAACAGGACACCATGAAGAAAATGATGTCCACTAGATACTAGAAAAGAAAATGATGTGTAAAAGAAATCAAGTAATAATTTTAATAAATCCTATAGTTTCTTTGTATCCAAATAAATTCAGTGATAACTATCAAGGATGGAAAAGATATTTCCATTGAAATTCAGCATTCTTTAATAAAGACATTGCTAATGTGCAAGAGAGCATGGAAATACAAAAATCCTATTCACTTATAGTTTGTGGACCTTGCAAGAATGTGAACATAAAACACATTCAAGCATGTTCTTTCTTCAGTGATCTTCTACAACCACCAAAGGACACTTAATATAAAAAGTTCCTTCTATGATTCTAGAAAAATGATTGAAATTTCTAAAATGTTGTGGAGACAAGTGTCATTAATCAGCACGAATGTCCAGTTCAAATACTTGATTTCTATAACTTTACTGGGATTTGTCTATAACTTTACTGGGATTTGTTTCATCCCTAAAGCCACAGATGGGAGTACACGGCATCTATAAATTTCTTCATTAACATTTGTTGCATGGACACGGCAAGGACGATGCATATACAGTTACAAACACAAATATCTATAAAATAAGCATGAGCCTATGAGGATTTCTAAACGTTCCCAATGGTCGATTAGCTAACCATGATCTGTTAAATTTTCCCTTAAAAGTGCTAGCTTTTTTCATCCTTTCATAAAATTCAGTCAAGCAACTAAAATAAGCAATCTTCCATTTCCATCAAGTACCATTTGAGGAAGCTTATGACAGTTCAATTTCACATCATTCTCCATCATGTTGTGTTCTAAACCAGAAGGGTAGACCAAGCGGTGAAATACTTTGGCTCAATAAATTTAGTTAGCAAAAGGCTGACAAGCCCCCAGGAACGAATGTTCGTCTTAAATCGAATATATCACAGTATTTCATATAAGATAGAATATATTAATCCTGAAATTATGAAATTGAGAGTTAAAGTTAAGCTTTTATGACCTCCTCATAGCAGCTGGACCACCATTCTTCATCTCTTCCAAAATAGGTTTCAACGATGTATATTCTTTTGTGTGCGCCATTCTTTCTTCAAGCTGATCTTTATGAGCTGGATTTGTCAAACTCTCCATCATGCTAGACATGGATGGATCCTTTACAAAATATGAGCAATAATTCACTTGCCAACACTAAGCCATTTCTGAATAATTTACCAGAAACTCGGGAATTTGAACTGAGGGATACCTGCATTAATGTGTTACCAAGCTGCTCAGCCATGGTCATAAATTGAGGATTTTGCATAACCTGTTGCATTGTGGAATGGTATTGTTGTGTATCAAAGTTAGGGATGCCATCTTCAACTGCGGCGCCTTGAAAGGTTTTTTGAAGTTGTTCTGCCATCTGATTAAATGAAGGATCTTTTGCTATCTGTTCAGCTAATTCCTTGATGCTTGGATCCTGTACAGGCACAGAGTAAAGAATTTAAGAAAATAAATGACCTGCAAGTGCTGCAAAGAGAACCATTTACTGTGTATGCTGGTAATGTCACTCTCACGCATACACGAATATTTTGTCACTTTTTGTTTTTCAGCTTCATCTATTTCTCCATTTCTTCAGTGAAATAATATAAGGTAAAGCAAAACATTCATCAGGAAAAAATATAAATTTGAATCCCATAGCGAAATCGCCCTTTGTCAGAATGGGAAGAGCATATCAACATGCAAATAATTAATCAACTTGAACAGGATATGGGTGAAGAGATGGTACATTGAGTAATCCAGTCATAGCTGAGAAATCAAAGGGATTAGGCATCCCAGAAATTGATGATGGGGTTGATCTTCTCTCCCCTGATTGTGTTTCCACAGAGGTTGCCCCAGTAGAAGCTTTACTCTCAGTTGCATCGGACTTCTCTTCTGAAACAAAAGCTTATGTGAACTTCTTTAGGCAATAAAATAACAAACAAAATTTCCAGAAATGATATGTGGCAATACAGATCACAATGGTCGTTTAAGATGTATGCTTATACTTAATAAAGAAGTTATCAGCACACATTAGTACTATGAAAACCAGAGAAAGCATTTTTAAGCAATTTTTATGAGGAATCCCATCGGCCCCTAAAGAAAGTGGCAAAATTGAAAAGGAAAAAGAATAATACTTTATTTTTATTTTTTTTTTTGCATCAACAAATTGCAAAAATTGTCATTAGATTTCATTTTTCCTAATAGGTTGAACAAAGTACAGCCAACATATTATTCAACAAAAAACATACATTTTTCATGCCTCAATCTATTTTTCCATAATCTACCCGTTGACCCCAGAATATGTTGCCAACAGATATCAGATCCACCGGAGCACATGTAAGCTTGGTCCAACAAGGTGCGGGACGAGAACGTTCGGAATTAGGCGAGATGTTTGCATAACGATTGTACAATAATTACTAATCGATATTTGTAGAATGCATATATGAATTCGTGTATTTTGCAAGAGAGTAAAATGTAAAGAATTTTTTACTTGTTCTTGTGTTAAATCTTGCATTAACCTTTGTTTGGGGCAGATGAGGGAGTATTTATAATGTTACAAGTTAGATCGTGGTCCTCGGTTGGGAGTACACGTGGCCTCATTTTGTTAGTTTACATGTCAAATTGTAGGTATCAAGTTTGACCACCTAGCTTACTACACATTTATTAGTTGGCAGAGCCGCCTCTACTTTGACAAGACAAGAGACTGACACTCTGTGATGGGTGTCCCATCAATCATTCAAAGATGATTCTTGTGTAAGGTTGGATCTCTGGGGAGAAGTGATGCAAGAGATGCTTCAGGGCTTCGGCATGATGGCTTCGGTATGAACAACCTTGAAAATATGAACCGCTTAGGCTACAGTACTTCGGCATTCCAGAATCGAGGCCACGTTATAGGCTGTGTTTCGAGTGGCTCCTGAATCTTGGTGGGCCTAAGGGCCTCGGCCACTATGCCACGTGGTTCGTCATAGGTGGGCCATGGGCCTCATCGGGTCGGTTAGTGTGTCAGCACGTAACACAACCAAAGTCTCATTGGCTATTAAGACTTATTTACAATTGGAAAGTGAAGTACACAAACACCAAGGTCTAGCTCAAGTGGTAAGTGCAAAGCCTTCCCAGGCCAAAGAGACTCGGTTCGAACCTCCTTTTGTGGGTGGGGGGTTGAAATCCTTTGATCCCCATTTTCAGATTTTTTTAAAAAAAATGAAGACATAAAACCATATGACTAGTTTGGACAATAACTTTGTTATTTGTTAACTGAACTGTTGAGGCCGCAAAGGAACTGTCCTTGAGGTTCAGAACCCAACACTTTCCAGTGTGAATAATCAAATTCAGAACTATAATTTAACGAACTTAAGAAGAAGAACGAAGTCTAATAAAGCCATCGCTAACTCTTCCAAACTCTTTCAGGTTCTCACCACAAAGCCTCATTTCTTATCATGGTTCTGTGTAGAAATTCTATAATATCCATACTCATTCTGTACTTCATAGTTTTGGTTTTCATCTAGTTACTGTTAACCATGAAACTCAAAATATAATTTAAAAATATTATTCCCATTTTTCTCATCCTACTTCTATAGCCAGTAAATTTATTTTTGTAACAATTCCAACAATCAACCTTCCGTACAAATAACCTAGAATCTAGTGATTCCAAAGTGATCCTTTCAAGCAAGTAGATACTACGGAATAGGCAAACATGGGTCCTAAATATTCCTCCTGACTCTTCTATCCCCACTACTACACAGAATCTCCAGTATGTTCACACCACGTGACTACTCTCAAACCAATAACATGTCATCAAATCCAGTTTATGCCAATTAATGTCAAACTGATAAGTTGATATGCACTACAACCATTTGCATCCAAACCATGTAGTATAGTAGTAGTAGTAATAATAACAATTTAGATCACAGCTCACTAACCGCATGTAAAAATTAAGGAAACTTTAGAACTTACTAACATAATTACTCTTCATTGTGAGGTGTTTTAATTCAACAAGGAAAGGCATAAGCCTTGAGAAGTTTTAAGGGGTTAGTCTCTTGACAAACCCATAAAATAATTCAGTTGAATATTAAACTATGCAATTATGCTCATGATAAACTATAAGTTACCATCCTAACAAATTAACAATTGATGGTTGGTTAATAAAGAGGAATAGTAAGAGGATAATAGTGGTCCCACGAAATGTGTAATGAGTAGTAGCTATGAATGTGTGGATAAAATTAATATTTGACTTTGATTGAATTTATAAACTAATTTATAAATTGTATTCTAATGGATTTAAAAGTTACAATTGCAAAAAAAACATAAAAAAAGATCAATAAAGAAGTAAATAATTAAGAAAATTATAATCTACTACTATAAGTACAAAAAACTTTGAAATCTATTAATATCATCATCAGTAGTATGATCTTCAAGGCAATTATCAACTTAACTGATTTGCTATTATCTTCCAAACGATCAAATTTTTCACACTAACTGTCATCGTACTCCACTTGCAATGGAGGCTTCTCCTTTCTTTTACCGTCCTCATAATGGCAGAAAATGAAAGTAGGAAAACACATAAAATGTTCCAGGTTATAAAAGATAGTCCATAAGGCGAAGGACAGTAATAAAATATCCAGAGAAAAAAATGCACGACAAACAGGCTAACAGCTTAGTTTCCCTAAGAATCAGCAACAAATGGTACTAAAGGCGCAAGCTTTGAGGCATTTCTTAAAAACCTCGTACTCTGCGGGGGCATAAGTGCATTCGTTAAACAATCATGTATGCATATTTTCAGTAGCCCATCAATTTATTCATCAGAAAATGATATACACACAAAAACACATACATATACTTCAAATTGTAAAGGGAAGAAAACCTGTCGTCCGGGATGGAGTACTTTTAGTCTCCTGTGAAAAATAAAAAATCAGCATCATTAGTGCATCAGTCGTAAACAATTCATCAATCCGATTCAATTAACCAGCCCAACAAAAATAAAATAAAATAAATCTGAATTGAAGCAAAGTCAGCAAGTGAAAATGAAATATCGCTACAAAAATCAGAGAGTGAAATTCCTGGATTAAAATAATATGAAATTAACAGTAGCGGCACTACAAGTACCTCAGACATGGCTGGACAGAGAAATTAAGAGAGGTTCTTTGCTTTAAGTTGGAGAGAAATTGAAGAATCGGGGATACAAGAAGAAAAAAGGAAAAGGATTTTTGATAAAGATAGATTAGCAGTAGATGACAAGGTAAGAATGAGGGTGCGCCACCTCAATGAAGTCTCATCTCCACGTGAATAAGGTACATCAATGGCATTTCCTCGCAGGGGTCTTCTGCCCTGGCTTGGACTTTCTAATGTCAAGAATTTGGGCTAACGATCCAAATATTCGCAAATTAGGGGAAAAAACGAGCGAGCAAGACCTTATTATTATTATTATTATTATTATTATTATTATTATTATTATTTTGTTTTCACTTGATTTAGGTCGAGTTCGATAACTATGGTGGAAATATTTATTAAATTTTATCCTTTCCGCTACATGATCTTTTCCCTTCAATTTTATGGGTTTGAGAGGTTTTGTGATATTGAATGATGCTTTACCATGTAGACTACTACTTGCACTAATTCGAAATGAGAAAAGAATGAGTGACTTGACTTAATAATCGGTGAATTATGAAAGGCGGGAATGTCAATGTATTATCCATTTACTTTGGGTGATGCATGACATGCGATTTTCAAATTCGAGTTCACTTTTAAAAATCAAACCTTCAAATTTCACATAAATATGAAATAATACATACAAAATTTCGTATATTTTGCAAATAATTTGTCATGAAGTGCAGAGAGTCGTCTTTTTCATACATTTTGCACAACTTCTTGAAAAAAAATTCATGGATTCAAGCAAAATTTGATAGGATTGGTGCATAACTAAAAGAAAGTGGTTTTTGTTTCAAAATTTGAAATTGGAAATGCAAATGAGGGGAAAAAAAGTTCGAACGATTAGTTTGGGAATTATAATTTAAAATGAAAAAAAAATGGTGTGCAAGATTCGGATAAGTACTTAAGTAGTATTTTATCATCCTCTTAAAAAAAAATGAAAAAAAAAGCTCGTGTATCTTACGTGAGCAAATTAGCATCTAGGAAATTTTGTTAAGAGAACAAAAATGTCGCACATCACCCATTGTAATTTTGCTAAAACTAAGAAATTGAAAAGTCCAATTTCAATGATTGGAAAAATTTGCAAGAATCACTAAAATGATACAAAATTTCTTAAAAATCAAGAAAAACAAAACATGGACGATTTGAGTCAAACTCAAGCATAGACAATGTCACATTTCGTCTCATGTGCACTTAATTTTCTATTTAGACGAATAAGCCATAACTTGAGACGTACAAACCCATTATAGAACTTTGCCTTTACACCATAATTACTTTATTGTCACCAAAATAACATTTATTTTTATGATTTTTATTAATTTCCGAAAATAAAAAAATGGTCACAAAGATTGTGACACATGAACATGTAAGATAGTACCTTATATAGTGCAACCATGTCTACAGTAGATCTGACATGCGAGGTCTAGCTATTCCTGGTAAATTACTTGAAAGTTCAACATGATGACTTCATAAGCATGTGATGCTATTAATTTTTAATAGTTGGTAACACTTTAAATTAAAATCTCTATCTTCCAAAATGAGAATAAGAATATAAACCGTTAATTAAACCGTATTAGAATATAACAAAATGACATGTAAGATAAACTATAAGATATTAAACAATAAGAATAATGGTAACTGGTGCACCATTTATGTGACAACTTGGTGACATTATAGGGATATGTTACATAAGCAAGCGCGACCCCAACCAAAGCCATCTAGACAACGACCTAGGACCTCAACATTTAAGCGGCCTCAAAGATAAAACAACCAAACAATCATGTTACTCAAACAGAAAATTTGACAAAGAATGGTGACCAATAACACTTGGCATTCATTCATTGGAAGATAGAATTTTTTTTTTTAAAAAAACAGGCGAATCACAGTTCGCCACATCACCTCTTGTCAAATTTTTTCGTTTGAGTAGCTTAATTGAAAACCAAAATGCCGTATCTTTCTGCAAAATGTAGGGATGAAAGAGGCAAAGAATCTGTAATCACACAAATTCAATCATATGTTCATGAGATATAGAGTAAGAGAAGGGGAGTGTGTGGAAAGTTACACACACTGTTCACAAGGCATATCTGAACTTCGATAAAGCTTAAGTCATGCCACAAGGGGCCATTCTCCGGTCGAGGCAAGTGATCATGTAAATCAGAGAACATAAATAGCAACTTCTTTGCACTAATCACTCAAATTCAATTGTCTGCATATTTCTGGTGAGCGAGTGGGTGAGTGGTTGGCTGCTTTGGTGTTTTGTGAAGAGAAAGTGTGTATAGTTTAGGAAATCGCACAAGTCACAAGGTGATGTTATTTCTACACATTTATCACAGAATTCTTTGGCGTAAAACCATAAAGTTCTACTTTAAGAAGGCCAACGGCTAAATATTTAAGCATGAGTTTTCTAATTTCAAAAGTTAAATAGATTTTAACCCTATAAGACCTTGTTTGGTTTACCTAAAAAGGTGATAGAAATTTACTTGACGTTGTTTGGTTTACTTAGAAAACTTGATAAAAATATAAGTTAAAATCAACAATTAATTTTAATGACATATTTTATAGGGACTTACAACTTCTACCAATTTTTCAACCACATGTTAACTTTTATTAAAATCTACGAAAAAATGCTGATTTTAACAAAAATCAAATAGGGCTACGCTTTTGGGTTAAAAATAAACACAACATTGGGTAGCAAACACGATATCGAGGAAATCGTATGAGCATCAATACAGATTCAAGCCAAAAAGATATAGTGGGTTGGGATATTAACTCTACACATTGAACTTCAAACAATGATTTCGAACTTGATAATTTTGCGAAATACTTCAAGATAAGCATGATTAACTCGAAGTTGAATATGAGCACATATAGTATGAGCATCAATACAGATTCAAGTAAGCCCCCGTTTGTCACCCATTAATTTCAATTTCAATACATTTCATTTTTTTCTCTCTTATTTTCAACCACACAATTTTTCATAAAATAATATTACATATAAAACGAAAACTTTTTCTTCTTTTTCAACCACTCATTTTTCAAAAAAAAAAAAAATGCTGTTCCACCAATTTTCATTTTCCCAAATAGGGGCCAAACGGGGGCTAAAAAAGATATAGCGGATTGGGATAGTAATTTTGTATGTTTGATTTCAAACGATGTTTTTGAACTCGATAATTTTGGTAAATACTCCAAAAATAAGCATGATTAAGTAGAAGTTGAATAGCTCACATGCATAAGATGGCCATAAAGCGATCTGTTTCTAAATATGGGCCAAACATTTAAGAAAGGGTCCTTTAATGTCAATGTGATAACTGATAAGACTCATTTATGGGTCAGTAAGATGACCGTTGAAAAGAAGAGGCAAAAAGAAAGCACCTTTGTGACCACACTAGTTTATCAACAACTCGTCCACCCACAATTGGACCATTATGTGAATTATTGTACTTCTTTCGAAAATACGTTTCATCATAATTACGAACTTGGATATAGGTGAAAAGTGAGTTGGATTGTATACCAATGTAAAAATATTGTTTGTGTAAAATTTAAAATTTTACTGATCATGTCGAGAAAAATGCTTGGCCCATGGTTGAGCCAAAAAGGCACAAGCGGGAAAAGATATACCGGGATGGGTGGAATAGGTACAAAACGTGAGCGAATAAGACATCAAGCGGATTGATGGAGTGGTTGGAGGACACGAAAAGGATAATGATTAACAAGTAACGATAGTTATCTTTTTTCGCTCCTTTTTTTTTTCTTTTGATTTTGCAAAACCGCTTTTCAAAACATGATTTTTTCCCCTAGTGTATGTGCATTTGCATAGTCGGCTATTTGATGCGAAATGAAATTTGATGTCCAATATGAATTTTTGCTTAAAGCTCGTGACAAATGATGATTTGGAAAAAAAAATGTTATGGCCTTATTTAACATTGTTAGAAAACAAGCCAATTTGCAATAATTTATTGATGAATATTGTACCACTTGTTATAAATACTAAAGTCAAGAAAATATGACAATATTAAAAGTATCACACAAGAACACATGACAACGGAGTACCCCAAATTCGAAAAGCTAGAGACAGAGGCGAAAGATTCATTATAATTAATAGCAAAGAAGTACAAAAAGATCTCGTAAGACTCTCAATCTATCTCAAAATATGCGAGTCTCTCTCTATAAACTAGATCTTCTTACTTTGATGTTCTCTCAATGTTATACAATATTTTGCTCTGTTACTCTAAGCTTTGAAGAGTTTAAACCTATTTCTCTTTTTGCTGGCCAGTTTCTTGGCGTCGTGACCAGACGTCCAGTCCTGTTCCTAACACTTCCAAGCGCATTTTTATCTATTATTAACTCCTTATTCCAATCAAACTCCCAATCCCTGATGAAATTTGATCCCTCTTCAAATTGGACTTCTAAACTAAAATTGTTTAGGTCTTATTTATCAATCAAATAGCCTAAACCTAATCCAAATAGATTTTTTGGTCATATTCTAACAATCTCTATATTGACACAAATTCCATAGCAAGGAATTAGTCTTCACTCCTCCATGCCCTCTGGGAATATTCAGCAACTGTGAATAAATTTCAAGCCATACTTAGTAGCAAAACTACTTTGCGCCCCAAAACTACTTGAATCATCTCGTTTACTTCCAACTCTACCTAAGTTACTAAACTTGCTCAAAT